TATTGTGTTGTGTTAATTTGTTATAATCGTTACTGGTATATTTCTTTCTCTGCACAGTCTCAGTTGTGGTGATATACATTCACCAAACGATCCCCACCCCGTGACAGCGGACGAGCTGAGAGGGAGGAGAGTTATTAGATAAGCACGCTACCAAAGACAAAGACTATTAGACCGGTATTAAAAACAAGCTCCCCGATCCTGAATACGGTGTAGCCCCATAAAGGCCCCCCCGCATTTAACGTCACAGTATATACCGAGGAAACGACCCCGATTGAAGGTCATGTATTTTATGACGTCACCAATTCGTGTGTAGGTACTGCTTCTAGATCTGTGCCGAAATTTATAAACATTTATAACAATCGAGAAGAAGGGTTTGTGTTTGCAATCATACAGGAAATTTCATATAGGCATGATTTTTTGGTGTAAAATATTGATGAAATATTCAGTAAACTTCAAATGAAAATCATACAGAAAATGTGACCACTCACAACAAATTTATAAATGCATGGTATGATAGAATAAAACCCACTCAGCACATGGCTAAGAGGTCAAAAACATAAGCCTGTGCTAAGAAAACATGTGCGCATCGGTGAAGAAACGTTATGTGCTAAATCTGACCTGTTTTAAGACCCAGTCCAGACCCATAGCATGGAAAAATAAGAGGATGATACTCTGTACTACTTCCTGTCATTCTGCAACGTGCACTTTCTGAATTTGCACTGTCATTGTGGTTACTTATATAGTTAAAAGGGCTCAGATTTGTAAATTAAAATAAAAACAAGTTTGAGCTTATAAGTCCTCATACTTTGTTTATCGACTAATACCAGCAGCCACCATGCATGATTACACATTAGTGTGACCCTTATCTGACTGCAGTTCGAGGACTTTCGACCTCAAGTCAACAACATGTGGACATGTCCAGTCTCGACAGTGTAATCAGCTTTGTACAATATGCTATAAATGAAATTAATCTGTTTGCTAGCTTCCATATTAAATAACCGAATCTAGTAATCAAAACGTGTGATTGATCCACCGGTGATTCAAAAATCCCGCGTTGAAAAAAGCTCAATATTGCATTCTAAAAACAAGAATTTTCAAACAAAGTATTTATCACCAAACAGATTTCTACGAATAAAACCGACCACATGTAATCACAAACGATCACGACTTAGTTGCCAGTTGAAGCCTGAGCTCCCGGGACTCACCAAAATAGCAGGTGTTTACATTACAAAATTAAATGGTACGATCGGGCGGTTGTCTGAAAACTTACACACCATAGCTATTCGTTCACCCTTCCTACCTGATATTCAGGCTTTTCCCACATCCATGTCATTTCACAAGCATTTTTCTCAACGTTTATGATGTAATTGTACAACCCCAGTAATAACAGCAGTAGCAGACTTGTACAGAACACGAAATTTTTGGCCGCCATGTTAGCCGAAGAGTCGCTAAACACAGCAATGCAGTATGGGTAAGGTGTGAGCGGAGTCGATTCATCATTGAATTCTTCGACATCTCCCATCTTCACGTGGACATCTCCATTGCGGCGCAGGTGAAAACTGTTTCGGATACAGGATTTTTTGTAAGGGGGGGGGGTGTCCAAACTTTAAAATCAAATTGAATAAATTTTTCCTAGTAAAAAAGTACATTCTATTTGGTGTTAGAAATGCAATTAATATTTAAAATCACAATATAACGTATTATTCCAGTAATTGAAAAATTGAAAGTTCAATGATGGTGGCGGAATATGAAAGAACATAAACTGTAGCAATAATAGATACTGTAAAATACTTTATTTTAATATTTTGGGTGTTTTGTATGGAATTTATTTTCACTGTTTTTTGATGAGTTGAATGTAAAATATATAAAAAAACATATATTCGCTAGATTTTATTTTCACTGAATCATTCCTTCAGCCAAAATAGGGAAAATTAGTTACAAGCGAAAATAAAGTATTTCACAGACATTACAGTATGCAAACTTGTGTCATGTGTAATCACTTGAAAGAAACGTGCGGAATTGAGTCCCAAAGGACGATAACAACACATGCCAAAAACACAAATAGCTCATGGGTAGACGCTTGTTTGTAAACAATTACACGCTATGGCCATCTGACGCATGCGCAGGTGACGTCTCCCTCGCTTTAACTGCTATTGATATTTAATTGTTTATAATGAAGAAGGTAACTGGTTGTTGTGCAGAATGTAAAGTGATGCATCATCGCTCACCAATTAGCATCTTTTGAAATTTAACACAACTAATGAAAATAACTTAAAAGGCGACAGTCGTCGTGCCGAGTCCTGTTCGATATGAGACGTATACAACGCGTGTAATAAATACATTGTTCATTTACATGAAATTCGAACACGCGCTGCGCGACAACCACCGCGCTTTAAAGAATTTTTTGTTACTAGTAATAGTAGTAAATAATTGCTAAATAGAAGTGTTTGTTACTACTAGTAATACCTATCTACATACAGGTATGATTGAGTGAAATTTACAACCATGTCAGTTGATTTATTTATTATTTCATTATTTATAAATAAAACAAATAACTAGGTAATTAAATAAATGCCTTTTTTAAGTTTATATATAGTATACCAACACTGACTAATGGTACAGCAGTATAAAGTTACTTTAGTGATCCTCATCACACAATTTTTTGGATTTGTGAATGTGCTGGTTATGTGGTGGTACTATAGCAACATTTTTGAATGTCAAATTTAAAAAGAAATCTGACCAAACATAAGATTTTACAGTTTACACGATTTATCTGCACAGATTAATCTAATCAGATAAATCTGATCGAATATCAGTATATGGACCTCAGGAGGTAATGATAGGTGATGCAAAATGATTGAGTACATCATAAATACACTGGCGAAATATTAGTATATGGACCTCAAAACGTGACACCAGGTGTATTAGTATATAGATTTATATATAAATACTGAAGAATTTATGTCGGGTGATTGATTGAGTAGAGCTAAACTAAAATACCAGTAAGACTTGTATAACAGTCACTAAACACCATCTGCTGAGCTAAACTACAATGGGCTGAATATGTCTTCCCAGATAAATCAGTTGTTTAGAAACATTGTAATAAAACCCGTGGACTTGGAGTTTATGACATGTACCAGTGAGCTTAGGAGGTCAAAGTTATAGTTGACTATATCTGTGTCATACTTAAATTGCCAAGCAAAATGGGCGGATATTTAATTAAAGTCAAATTCATGCACTATTCAGAGGCAAGAATAATCTCTTCATCTGTGAAACATTTCCCAGAGATCAGGCTCAACAAAGCGGCAATGGTGAAACCCCCAGTTGTTATGGTAATACAATCTCCCTCCACCAAAATAAGATTTCCCAAAACGTGTGCTTCACTGAAAACATTACTTAACCACTTTGTATTCACATAGACAATCAAGGAAGCAGTTACACACTCTATAGAACTGCCTTTCCCAATGTCTAAACAATCACGCCAATGTTTATTCATACTTACTTCAATGCGTAATTTTCTACCGATAACTCATAACAAGAATCAGAGCAAATAGGAAAAAGTTTCTTGCAAATATTTTATTTATAAATGTTGATACATATAATGAAGGCATGAATTTGTTTTCAAAGGAAGATGCTTTCTTTAGAAACCAATCAAATTTGTTTGAATGCTTGAACTTTTTGAAATTTGTTTCATTGTTTTGTTTGTTGAAATAAATTTAAATGATCAAGTTCATTACAAGTAGTAATACCTTTATTTACCTGAAAAGGTGAGATTAAAGGATAAATTACCGCTGCAGAGTTCTATATGGGCAGTATTTATCTCCTAATGATTGTGATTGTTGTTTTCAATCGCCATTTGAAATTATAAACATTTATAGATATTTTATATAAAACCAATTCACACCTACGTGAAACCTGATATATTTCTAGAATCTAATTTGAATATCTAAACTACTAGATACTCCAGCATGTGGTATATTTTTGTTCATAATCTCGAGTAAATTCATAACACAAATTTTATTAATATTAAAAAAAATAACATTGTCATGCCTATGAAAGTGTTGGGACTCGAGGCAGTGTCATGCCAGTGAAAGAACAATTGCATTTTCAAGAAAAATATGCGAGTAACAGAGCACAGGCCATGACATTTACATAACAAAAAAAGTTGGCAATCAATCCAACTTGCAGACAAACAATCACAGGGCTCATAAATAGAATAAACAATTGTAATCAGTAAAGGCAAAAATAATTGGGAAAGAAGAAATCATGTAAAGATGTACAAACATGTGACGTTTTGAACATTTCATTACTTGTAACAGTAAGACAGCATTCTAACAGTCTTTCTCTCAGTAAATATCAGCAGAATAATGAATCAGAAGGAAATCCAGATGAAAAGAAGGAATGTATATTTTATAAATCTATAGTGAGACATGAGTGAGATATGCAAATAAGCTACTTATTATGCACAGATTTACAGAAAAATTAAGACCTGCATCAATACAATGTAAACGTTGTTAAATATATGGTTTGTGCACATGTAGACAACAGGATATGTGTGTGCTACACGAAAAGCTTATAAAAAACTATTAAAATGTATAAATATTTGTTTGTGCTTCAGATAATTTCAAAATTTCGTGCAATGTTCATCTTCATAATATTGGTAAGTCAAACTGTGATTCAAGTTCTTGTTTGCAGCGGCATTTTCTGCAGCAATTCATCATAACACTGAGTATCTGAAACAGCAGCTTTCTTTTTTACATAATCCATTGTTCTCACCTGTAAATGGGACAAGAAAACAAGAACTGAGAAACTGTGCAGTATTTTTGTATTTTCATTAGGAGCTTAATATTCAATATCAATAGTTATGTAAAAAATTACATAACTATCTCTGACTCCTGCCATTACACGCATCTTTTATTTTTTCTTCCATACACCCTTATGCAAAACTGCATAAACACATTATTGCACACATTTTCCCACATCCTCTGTTAATGTATAACATTGCACAAACGAGGAAAAAACTTGTTGAGATCACAGAGCAAGTTGTGCACAAATCCAACTATAACACTGCCATAATACCTCAGTAAATCAAGATAATTCCATAATACTCACCATATTTTTGGTTTCAGCATAACCATGCTTTTGAGATAACGTCCACAAATTGTGTGCCAGACTTGCCATCTTTGAGTTATTCAAATCTCCATGTCCAATGATACGATTGAATAAATCTAATGACAGATATGACTGTCTCCGCAAACCCTGTAGAATAAATGTATGTGTGTTAACTATGCCAACTAAATACACAAATATGTTATCTATCAACATGTTAGAAGTAGTTTGCTCAATAATTTAAGCATTTGCACTAAACTGTAAAATAGTTGTCCCGAGTGTTTTGAAAAATTAGAATGAGTTTTCTTGATTAAATATCATGAAAGTAATACAGAATTTTGTCAGAATATTCCCTGACCAATGAAATTGAAGTATTTAATGGTATGCTGATGATACACAGCCAACCTTATGAGACACCCTCTCAAAAAACCAACCAAAAAATTTAGAACTAATAAACACAAGCAACCACATCTTACTCAACATACGGTATCAATCCGAGTCATACTTAGGAAGTTTACGAATTCAGAAATGACATATCTAATCTGCAGACAAGAACGATGGTGTACAGAATCAATCCTGCTCATGTTTCAATGCATATACTGTAAAATACTTTATTTTCACTTGGAACTAATTTTCGCTTTTTTGCTGAAGGGATGATTCAGTGAAAATAAAATCCAGCGAATATGCTTTTTTTCTTACCGGTATATTTTACATTCAACTCGTCAAAAATCGGTGAAAATAAATTCCATAAGAAACACCAAAAAATTCCAGCTAAAATAAATTACTTTACAGTATCATATATGTAGTAAATGATGACTCACATCAGGTGTGTTTAGATTCTTACAATGATCCAATACACCTTCTATCACCATAGTACTGATATTAGAAATCTCTGTTAAAAACTTCCTATCACTTCCATACAGAGCATCATTTGAATCCACTGAAAGTAAAAAATAAACCTGTGATAGTGATAAAAACCCAACGCAGACTGGAATTTACATGTTAGCTGCATGTACTAAAGCATGGCCCCAAACATTCACAAAAGGGCTATGATGCCCCAACTGCATATTTTCAGGTAGTTGTTGTTACAAAAATATTATCTACATGCAAGGTAATGAGTTCATCTATAGCTTGTCAATTGAATTGAATTTTGTATATGTAATATCTATTATTATGTGTTCATTAATTGTGTTTTTTATAGATTCAGCTTATAGTATTTTGTGAGTATTTCATTTTTTTATTTTCTGTTACTAATTCCATTTAGTCTGCTATTGGTTGTTCTTTATACTCTTAACCATTGTACATGTAATTTGATTACTGTAAAATACTTCATTTTAGCTGGGATTAATTTTCGCCGAAAAGACTTTTTTGGTATTTCATATGTAAAATATAGGAAAAAAATATATTCGTTGGATTTTATTTTCACTGAATCATTCCTTCAGCGAATATAGCGAAAATTAGTTCCAAGCAAAAATAAAGTATTTTACAGTAATTTTTATTCGTAATTTTCTTTTGTAACCTTTAACCTCCTCCAGAAGATTGGTATGAGTTAATAAATATCAAATATCAATCTCAGAGAGAACATTAATAACTCTTACAACAACAATACTTGCTCAATCAGTATACCTTTATCCACATGATAAATATAGTGTTCTTGACTCGCAGCTGATAAAAGATTGAGGACATTCAGAAATAACTTAATTTTTGTGTCACCATTTTCTTCCCAGGGGTAATCTTGTACAACATTTAGTAGACCTCGAATCAGATACAACGCACCGTGATCTGGGTGATCCTGACCAACGAATGATGAAAATAATTAGTACAATACCGTAGTTACATTGGGAATGGTCATGTGATTTCCCACTACCGAGTACCTAAGATGAAGTATGTATATCACATAATATTTACCATTCTAGTATAATTTCTAATGTCTGACTTGCACCTAATTGTGAGCAATTTCCTGAGTGGACATCATGTCCCTCCAGGGTCATCAAATTAGTACTTACAGGAACTATTAACAATGTGGAAAGGAAATTATTGATAAATTCCAATAATAATGGTTCAGTTGATCTCATCTTGTAATCTAAATAAATAGTTTTTGGTACATCATTTATCAGACTGATGGCTGCCTTGAAAAACGAATCACCTAGTAAGAATAAAAGATTGATCATAAATAGCACTTAAAGTATACAAACACAAACAATACTTATAAAAAAAAAGTACTTAAACAAATTTATTTTTACTGATGACAATAATACAATTTTCTATTCTACTTTATTCAATATAAGATATGAGTAAATACATGTATTTCTAACATTAGAACGGCCATCAATCAGCCATTATTGAATTGTAATATTTTCAAATTAGGTGTTTACCTTGTGATAATGCTTGGTTCATCATTGTAACTTGACCAGACAGTAAATACAACTGAAGCTTAGAAAAGATACTGCTAACAGATGGAATAGTGATAAAACAATATGCTGAACATGCCTACAATGTAATTTTAGTAAAAAATATTATATTAGTAATATTAATTAAATATGAATTAATTAATAAAACTGCTTAATATATGTACATTAGAGAAAGTTTACTACCCAATCCAATAAGGTTGATTTAATCAAAACAAGGAATGAAAGTATTATTTACATTTATTTATTAACACACTAAAAAGCTTTTCATTGAGACAGAGTGAGGTTAAAACAGATTTTCTACCAATCCATCCGAGCCACCATATTTTCAAATACTAGTATACATGAATTAGCAGAGCTCGTGGATTAGGATTTAAGTACAATACAAGAATTAATAACAATTCACCATGTGAAAGAGAGCTAAGCACACAACAAACATTTATTAGCGCCTTGTTTGCCTTATATTGCACAGGAAAAGTTGGAATGAATATACAAGACTTACCCTAACAAATGCAGCTGTTTTCCGAGTATGGTTACCATGCACTATATTTCTTGTGTCAGTTGCAAGGCAGTTGACGCTCTGTGAATGATTACATACATACATAAATGAAGTTAGAATTCTGAGATGTAACATCATGTATTGTACTATGCCCTCAATAGATTATCCCATTCTGTTATTTCCTTTTGTTTTTTTTAATCACAAGTTTGATAAACCAATGCCATTCATTTATTCATTCATAACCTGTTTCTATTTGTTTGTGTGAGTGAAATTTCATTCTATAATAAGTTTTTGAAAGTTGTTCTATAATCCAATATACTGTGAGATATATATTTTGATAAATTCCTTACAGAGGGAAGTTTGTAATTACCAAGTACTGGTAGTTGAGTACAAACGAACACATTCATAGTAACAAAGAATTTTCAATTCGACTCATAGCTTTGTCAGTTGCCATGGATTATAATAATTTTAAATGGTAGCTTTTCAAATTTCATTCTAGTTTGGTGTTTGGTTCATGGTTTTATTATATTTTCAAAGTCCATGGTCATGGCTGACTTTGAAAACAGAAATGAAAATTTATACTTATTTAATGCCAGTTAAAACTGCATGTTTTGGTTGTATGCTATATACAAAGAAAGGTTAACACAAGAAAGTTGCAGATTATTGTTAAAACAATGCTGTTTTTACTAGCTGACTTCCACGCACTCAACCACAGACAGTGGCGTTAAGGTGTAAACGATTTGTCAATAGTAAGTATGTCTAAATGTGCAGTCATGTGATTAAAATAGTAGAGGCTCTGTTTGTGATGAGGTAACTGCAAAATATCGGTGACATACATATACAATTTGTCAAAATCAATGGACTGTTACCAATATTGTCTTGTTCCGTATATTATGTTGTTAATTTGATGATAAACTTACATGTACTAGTTGTACAAGTACTGTTTCTAGGTACGAGAATGATGCTCTGGATTCCACATAAAAACTTAACTGTTGTTCAAAATCTCTACCAAATGACACCTGAAAGAACACAATCAAAGACATCATGGTAATAATGACAATGCTGATGCAACATGAAATGCAACAGAAATTTGATAAATCTGCAATCAATTTGGTTACACTACACTATGCTTGGCTTGCTACGTTAGGCTATGCTACGCTACGCTACACTACACTACATAAAAATTAATTTCAGGTAAAATAAATTATGCTACACTACACAACAACAAAATCTACACTACACTACACTACACACTACACTACACACTACACTACACTACACTACACTACACTACACTACACTACACTACACTACACTACACTACACTACACTACACTACACTACACTACACTACACTACACTAGATTAGACTAGACTATATTTATCTCGTTTTGACAATATCTAAAAAAACATACCGGTAAATCAGTGGTAGTAATCACCTAGCAATGACACTATTATGAAAGACTTAATGTACAAACCTTTCTTATAAAGTCACATATCAAATTGCCAATAATTCGCTTCTCATCTTCTACCGTAAGAGCACTAAGACAAAGAACATAAAAAACACCTTGAGATAAAAGTACTAGTTACTCTGCTGATTGAAGTTTTGGGATTACAATGTGACAAATAATGGAATGCAAGAAAATGCATGAAATATTTTATAAAGATTCAAATTTCAAAAACTATTGTCTGCGAACATTTTTGCTTCCAATTTAAAATGTTCAAAATAAATTTTTAACACATGTTCAGATACGTGTGGATTCACAAAAAATTGACGCTTGAACTACAGTATTTCAAATTTGGTTGAACACTCAACAAATTCATTGAAGCAATTAATCTAAGGGTATCATGTATAATAAATACAAATCTCAATCTCTGTGAATGGTGTCCATTTCATATACATGTACCATATTTCACAAGGAATTGGGGACATACTTATTATCCTATAAGAAATATTGAATTAAAAATTAAAAGCTTGAATTAACCTCAACAAAAATACTGAAAATAATTTTATATCATTTGTTGATTGAAGAATGAGAGTTGTGCACAAGTTTATACTCACTTGACAGAATCATGCATAGTTTTACAGATAAACATCAATGCGTTGATAATAACTGGATCATTGGTTGATTCTATCTGTGATCTACATACAAATACATACTGCATTAGAGATGTTATTATGGAGATGCCTCAGGGTTATGTTGGAGATGCCCCACGATTACGTTGGAGATGCCCCAGGATTATGTTGGAGATGCCTCAGGATTATGTTAGAGATGCCCCAGGATTATGTTGGAGATGCCCCAGGATTATGTTGGAGATGCCCCAGGGCTATATTGGAGATGCCCCACAATTACGTTGGAGATGCCCCAGTGTTATGTTGGAGATGTACCAGGATTATGTTGGAGATGCCCCAGTGTTATGTTGGAGATGTACCAGGATTATGTTGGAGATGCCCCAGTGTTATGTTGGAGATGCCCCACGATTACGTTGGAGATGCCCCAGTGTTATGTTGGAGATGCCCCACGATTACGTTGGAGATGCCCCAGTGTTATGTTGGAGATGTCCCAGGATTACGTTGGAGATGTCCCAGGATTATGTTGGAGATATGTCCCAGGGTTATGTTGGAGATATGTCCCAGTGATATGTTGGAGATATGTCCCAGGGTTATGTTGGAGATATGTCCCAGGGTTATGTTGGAGATGTCCCAGGATTATGTTGGAGATATGTCCCAGGGTTATGTTGGAGATGCCCCAGGATTATGTTGGAGATATATCCCAGGGTTATGTTGGAGATATGTCCCAGTGATATGTTGGAGATATGTCCCAGGGTTATGTTGGAGATGTCCCAGGATTATGTTGGAGATATATCCCAGGGTTATGTTGGAGATATATCCCAGGGTTATGTTGGAGATGCCCCAGGATTATGTTGGAGATATATCCCAGGGTTATGTTGGAGATATGTCCCAGTGATATGTTGGAGATATGTCCCAGGGTTATGTTGGAGATGTCCCAGGATTATGTTGGAGATATATCCCAGGGTTATGTTGGAGATGCCCCAGGATTATGTTGGAGATATATCCCAGGGTTATGTTGGAGATATGTCCCAGTGATATGTTGGAGAAGCCTCAGCTTTAAGTTAGAGATGACCCAGAATTTTGTTAGAGATGCAAGGGTGTTGAGGTTTGGTATAATAGATATTTTATTAAATCAGAAAACTGCACATATGCACACTTTAAAGTACTTACTTAGAAAATGATTCCATTATTGTTTTACACACTTCAACTTTGATAGATTCTTTTTGAAACATATCAATAAATGGCAGAAACTTGTCCTAAAAAAAAGAATGCAAATTAGAGATTGTAAGCATGTGATCAGCTGTGACCAATCAGAGTCAAGAACTAGATTTACAAGAAAAATTCAATGCAAGATTTTTTTTAAAGTGGTAAAAAAATGACTTACTGGAAATTAATTAATATTACAGTAATACACAGTCAACAATAAAATTGGGTTCAAAATGCATGTGAAGATCTAAAATTGTGAGTAGCTGAAATTACAGTTCAGACTGTTTCAAG